GAATCCTGAAGGGAAGCGGAAAAAAGGAAGGCCGAAGAACACATTACGTCGGGAAATAGAATCATATATGAAAAGGATGAATAAAAACTGGAAAGAGCTGGAAACAATTGCCCAGGGCAGGGCTGGATGGAGAATATTGGTGGGCGGCCTATGCTCCTTCACGAGGAGTGACAGGTGTAAGTAAGTAAGTAATTTGTTCACAAATTAATTATTTGATTATCAGTACATTATATAGTAATTAGCTCTTGTAAACATATTGTTACACAGAATACTCTCTAAGCTCAATGATGAAAACATCACCTACAAAATGCTCATCTTAAGCTACAAATATTCGTCATCATCTCAATTATAGCTAAAAATGGAAATTATTTCAATTAAAGTATTGTTGTTTTCTTATTTATTTCATTTGGTTCATCATATTGTATGGGTTCTACTGGTCGCACATCCGACTACTCTTCTAGAACATTATCCAAGCATGAACACAACTCAGTTAGCACTTCTGCTGTTGATCAACTCTGATCATATAGTACCACCTGAATAGTCATTCAAGATTCTTTACAAAGTCACAAGAGCTGATGAAATGTAGTTTATGTTACATATAAATTCACGGCTAAATCTTTAGAAATTCATTAATTTGAGCCTTGTCTTTCTGTTTAAATGAGAAATGCTGAATACGTGATTTAGGTATGGTCTTTGATATAATTTAAGTTTTACTAGCGACTACTTACACTTATTCGCTTATTGTTCATTGACGTAACAACTCTCTTATTTTTTACTAAAAACTGTGTAAAAACAAATATTTACAATTTACTGATCACTGAGTAGTGACCAGTGGCGTGTATGTCAAGTCCCTCTATCACCACTAAGAAGGACTTGACCTAAAAGACGATGGTCAATGCTCAGTTATCAATCAATCGTAAATTCATCTCAGCTCCACAGGAGGTCAGTCTTAGCCGGAATAGCCTAGTGGTAACTTCTTTGACTATGAAGGTGGGTGACAAGGAATTGGACTCATCAGGGGGAATCAGCCCCTTCAAGATTTCAGATGCACAATGCTGACGAGTGCTAAACACCACGAAACCTATATCTATGGTTTCGTGTCGGTTACCTTCAACCATTGCCTTACATCAGACAATAAGTATAAATACTATTGCAAGGCTTTAGTAAATAACGTTACTGAATAGGAAATCTCCCTAAGTTGTCGTTATTATGTCGAATGATCTAGAGGTTTTAATTTGTCGGATGCTGAATATATTTAAAATTTCACTGGTTGAAATCATGAGACGAAACGGCCGTTCATGTTTTCCATGGTGGTTTAGCTTCAATTGACTCATGATTTCAACCAGTGAAATTTCTAAAAATCTCCACAAAACCTATTCTGATAATAATATTCAAAATTCCCAATCTTCGTTTCTTATTGCCTGCACTCTTATGTTTCTATACTACTTGTCAATAATAAGTAGTTTGTAGTTCATGTAGATATTTACATGACCTAATTTGTATCACCTTTTTGGTACAATTTTGAACACATGTGTATGGTTATTTGCAAAAATCCCTCCAGCGTATAAGTTTGCTATAAGAAATTATCTTTTTTACTCATGATTATAAAGTTGTTATTTTGATCCTCACTTACATATTTCGTTGAATTTCCGATCCTAGAAGAAACTGTTATTAGTTATTTTGATTACACTTATTTTGTTTTTCTAACGTTTCAACTAATTTTTGGTTTTTACAGACTAGGTTAATTCTGTTTTTTTTCTTTAATTTCATGCTTGATGGTTGCAATACTAGTTTTCCTTGTTTTGATTGCCATTTTTTGAACTTATTGTTTTCGATGTACCCGGAAAGGATAGAATAGCGTTCCCTTATTAACATGAACACATCTTTTTTGTGGCTGGCAATAGTTCTATGTCCCTTACTAATTTGTCACCTTAATGAGTTGTAGATTAAATTGCTTAGTCTTAATAAACGGTTTTATGGGCTGTATAATCTTTAACCGTTATCCGTTTAGATAATTCTCTACAATCCAAATTTATAATTTTGTGATTAGAACCGCATCCACACAAACGATTGTGTTTTGAATTTACTTGTGGGAACGGACGACTATCCAGTGTCTCAGCACAGACCATTCAGAATGTAAACTGCAACGATTCAAAGTAAAATTATGTGTAAAGCGAGTGGTATTCATTTGCTTTAACAAACCACTTTGAATATTTTGTTTAGTTCTTCTACCTTTATTTATCCTATCTCTTTCCCAATTTGTTTACTAACCACTTTCGGAAATGTAAATTATCTTGATCGATTTGCGTTCTATTGAGAAACGCGACTTTCAATATAATTTTTCCACATATTGCATGTCATAGTTTAGTTTTGGATTATAATTTGTAGCCCTTACCTAAATTAGACTCATATTCACTTCTCTTTGTGATTTTATTGCTTCAATATCTATCATTGATCAGTGGACGTTAACCTATTCAATGAATATAACCATGGTCAATGACAGCAAACATGAACTGACTAAATCACGCTATGAGACTGGCGCATATGGGAAATGTTTTTTCTTATACTTCTTACATCGCAATTATCGTTGTACCTAACTAAAGCATATATTTGTTAAGATTCTTCTAATCCCGTATTGACTCTAAAGAAACACAATTGCCGACCATATCGTAGCGTGATTCGGGAAAGGTCTTTTTTCGCGTGATGTTCAACTGTTGATATCCGACAATCCACGTGTTGGAAGATATTGTCGCATCTTTCGATGTCTCTTATTATTCGAGTTGAGCGCAAAAATCTGAAAAGTCAGATAAAATAGTTCTTTCTGTCCAGTTGAATCTATACCATATACATCCTACTCCCCTTGTTAGCTTCGGTCTACTCAGTCAGAAGTGGAAAACGATGTTTTAATCACATTAGTATGCCTTAATAAAATTTTTTGTAGAAGAGGTGCATGATAACTAAAACTTAAATCTAGCACAGTTCACCTTTATGTTTATTGTGGTTATAAACGCTATGTTTTGAAACTTAGAAAGTTATGATTTTTGGCAAATCATGATGCACTGACTGAACGAATGAAGATAAAAATGTATAACATTTATGTAATAGTTGGATTCTTATAATATTTGAAAGTATTTGAATTATCGTATGAACTAGGAATCCCAGAATTAACGCAATTGAATCAAGAAGTACGACACAAGCACGAACAAATGTATTGTATTTAAAATTCGAAATCAAGCATACAACAAGTACAATTGAATCATTAATTCATTCAAACACCACAATTCATCAGTCTTTTAAGAGGAAACTTGACATATTCTTAAGGACTAAGGATAGCATCTTACTATCGCTTGTCAATTTTTTGTTCTTTTATCGGTAATACAACTAGGTTCCTGCCTGGAGGCATTGGTGATGCAGTGGCATTGGGCCTTAATCACACAATCCTCAAAGCTGGACGGGACACACTTAGGAAAATAGATGTTCAACATTTAACACGGAGAAAAACCCAACGATGGAGAAGGCGGGAAGAATGAACTGAATTTATTCGAGTTGATTGGATGGCATGTTCTATCTCTAGCCTAAGCCTGTTCTCCATGATGTATTGGTAATTGTTGTGATGCAAGGGTTGGTGTAGACGATGACGCAACTTCCACATAAGATCATATAGATTAGGCAGTTATATCATGACAAACCCACAATTTTAGGATGAGGCGTATTATTAGAGCAGTACTAATATCATAGTAGACTGTAATTCTACAGTGATCTGTTGCTACTAGACACGGAAGCCCGTTAAGCGAAAGAGTCTTCTATTCCGTCCATAACCATTTTGAACCATTTTTTACGAGTTGATTTAAGCCAGACCACCCTGGAAAACCTGAAGTAACTGGACAGCCGTTTTGGTCTACTATGAGACTCCTCAGCAGTGCGTGTCCAGTATCCCGCACGTGGGATTCGAACCCTGCACTGCTACTACATTTCCCACAAACCCTTATCCTGATAATAACATTTGTTAACAACTTAAGTAACTTAAAGTATTAATAATTTCAAGAAAATGAAATTCGTCATACCTATTAGTCTTCGTTCTGATAAGAAATTACTAAGATTCAGTGGAAAAAAAGAAAATGAGAAACGATAACTAGCATGTCCAGAACTTTGATATGAATACATTTATGTGTTCATGGTCTTTTCCTACCTCCAAAATCGGTTTATTCCTAGCTAACATAGTTCAGTTTGGATGGATTTAGAAATTTCCATATCATATAGTATAAGCAAAATGTCCTTTTAGAATGCTTTCATGTGTATGTGTGTGCCTGTCTGTGAAAATCTCTTCAAGTATCTATTAATTATGACAGTAGCATGTAGTGTGGGGTCGGGTCGAGATTGACTATGAACACCACTACAAAGGAACGCGTGCCGGGATATCTTTAAAAACCCCCGGAAGCCAAATATTAGAAGGCAGTTAATGGACCAAATCGAGGTATATTCGCTGGCGACCTCGTGGTATCGAAAGAATACCGAGATTGTGCCGGCATACAAGCTTGGTTACAGAGTGTAACCGAATTCGCGCGAGGTCACAATCAATGTGAGTATAATGAATGTTTTTAGCACAGTTAAACAAAAACACATTAAAACAATCACTGGTACAGTTGGTTATAATAATAATTGTTTTCATTAAACTAATCGTGTTCTCGTGATAAATGTAAGTCATTATAAGCACTTTCCATTACTCTGAAAAGCAAGATTATTAACTTTGACACATACATTTGCATATTACGTTTATCTGTTGGTAACAGATAAGCTCTTTTCACTTATTTTATTAGCGAGTTTGATTTCCTTAATGTATCATCCAGTTTGTAAGGATTTTACAGACCGTAATGATTATGTATCTTTTGAAATCTGAATGTAAGGGCTGTGACATTACTCCTTTGGGTTCGGAATGATACTGCTTAAATTGACAGCTTGGATTACCGCTGACCGCTAGGTAAACAATCATAGACTTTGTGATGTCTTCTTCTCTTAACAAGTAACTAGTTTGTATTCTTCTTGCGCATAAATACCAAATATATTTTCGACTTGACAAAACAACTTCGTTAAATAACTATGTAAGTTGTATAACCTAGTAACGCTATTTATTTAAGTATATCTGCATCATATTTATAATCTTTATGATTAAAACCGTGTCCAATCCAAACATTAGGTTTTGTATTTGTCTGTAGGAAGGAAAAAGTATCTGAAGTTTCACTGGAGTTTATATAAAATACGAACAATTACTCTATACTCTCTGGATTCTATCTTAGCACAGGAGAACTGTGTGTACATATTATGGACACTAAATCTGATGTACTGAAAAATGAAGAATACAATAATTATTATCAGCTAAACCAGAAGATGTGCTCAGTTATGATAATTCAATAAATATAGGAGCATATATGTCGCCGAGTTCAAAAATATTGATTGTAAGGAAAGAGAAAAACTCACAGTTTTGTTTCCAGAGTATTCCATAATGCACTATTTAGTTGAAAAAGATGACTGGATAACGTGGGGTTTACAGATCGGCTATCTGAAGGAGGTAAATGTAGTACTTGTGCAAAATAATGATTAATTTGTATATGATTGACCATGATTAAGGATTTCAGGTAAAATATAGTCATTTACGCCCATCTAGTTCTATCCGCCTTAAATTGCAATATTTGAGGAATTCTTAGTTAGTACATGAATTCGAATACTCCTCATTATCATACTGGCGGTGCCATGGAGTATTGCTTTGAGTGCCCGTGACTATACGATTCAGCACAACAGTGCCAAACACATTCAACATGCAGGCTACATATCTCAACCAACGTTACAAGATAAACCTGTTAATACTGAAGACTGTTTATTGGTTCAATTTCTAACTGTGAGACATCTAGATCCCATTAGAGAAACGCGTCGATACTTTGGGTGTATACTCGGTGCCGTAAAAAAAAGCAGGACTGTCAATCTGAAACGTAGATTTTCGGTCTATTTTTCGGAGTCGGATAATTTATCCACTACTCCTGATAGTATTTTGTGTTTAAATGATCGGGTTTTTATTCCTCCTTCATTAAGTAAATCTGTCCTTGAAGATCTTCATAGTGGACATCTGGGAGTTGAGAATCTGAAATCAGTCTGAGTAACGACATTTTGAATGGGCTTTCTCTGACAAACAGGAATCTGCTTTATGACGAATGAGACGACAACCGTAGCACTTGTTATTCTTGAACGAGCATAATTTTACAAAATGTTATTTATTGTAAATCGTTAGCATTCTCAAATTACTCTTCCAGAATTGGTGGGGTTGTAGTGACGCAATTGGTTTAATGGAAACAATTATTGTAGCGACCGAACAACCAATATTCGGTTGGAACGATGGACTGACGAACCCAGAATTTATTTGATTAGACCAGACCACGTTCCTCTGTATAGCTCACAACGCGTTTTTGAGATACTCGTATTAAATTATATCAAAACACAAACTCTGTGCTCAATATAAACGGTTCTAATTAAGAAAACAGAAGAAATGAAATCAAAAATACAAAATACCTCAAACGGTACAGCCTGTGCTATACAGCCAGAAGTTTCTCTAACGCAAAGTAGCGCGCTAAACAATGAAAAAGACAGTTAATACTAAAGAGTTTGACACCTGAAAATCAGTACAAACATTCCCAACAAGATGGGATTGAATATCTCTCTGCAGGGATCGCAGCAATTCTCCCAAGCAGACAGTCAGAAGGTTAGCAGTCACAAACTGAACCACGCCGTGACCTTGAGCTTAGTCAAACACGAGCTTACGGTCAATGGTCCGGCAACATGCTATAGAAAATTAGGTAACAAAAGATAAGTCTATAATCAAAATCACATAATAAAGACCCAAACGAGGAAGACTGAAGAACAAAAAATATGGTTAAAGGAGATCGGAACAAGGGTTAGAATACACAAAAGGGAGAAGAAACAAATAAATGAAAATACTGTTCAACAAAGAAGCTGCAGAGGGACTTTCATCGTTCTCTTTCCGTTACAATTATTTTATAACCAATTGTACCAGTGACTGTTTTACTGTACTTGTTTGTTTAACTGTACTAAAGACATTCTTCCTTCCGTTGATTGTGACCTTGCACTCACATTCGCTCAGTGATTCCGCTTGTACTCCTTTGGCACGATCTAGGTTTTCTTTAGATACCACGAGATCGCCAAAAAATATATCTCGCTTCAACCTTTAATCGCCTTCTGATACCTGGTATGCAACTTTCTTGTAGTGGTGATCATAATCAACCAGGACTCGACACCACGCTACAAGATAATCATCGGGTGGTGATCTAAATATTTGAACGCTGGTAGCGAATGTTGGATAACAAGGACTATTTCCCCTAAATTTTAAATAATATTTAGATAATTAAAAGATTTGGGCATTTGACGTGGAGTATGTCTTCAAAACGACGAAACCAGAAATCAAATATGATGCCAGATTCAGGATCATAGTTCAACTCATAAACGGAATTCGCGATGCTTTCATATTTATCTGATCGAGAGTTTGAGGTCAAATGAAATGAAATCTTCTGAATCGATGCATCCAAAAGCTTCGTTTGATCTGCATCACTGAGCTTGCTAAATTTGTAGAATGGCTTTAAGATCGTACAAATATATAGACGTTTCATTTGCATCAGTCAAAATAACAAAATCTCCCGTAGCCACTTTTGTTACGTCCTTGATTTATCTGCTCAATAATATACAGAAGATAACTTGTCTCAATGTGGATTAATACCTTGAAACGATAGGCTAACTGGTTTGATCTCGAGGCTAGAATGCGTGAATCTGGTGTGAAACTTACTGCCTTGTGTAGAAAGACGAGAACTACTCTACCACATGACTGGTTGACAAGCGAAAGCTAGAGAAAGAAGACGAGTAAAATGAAACACTACTCAATTTACTTTCGATTCCGGTCCAGATTAGGGAATAAGAAACATGAACAAACAAATAAACAACATGACCACAACGCACAAACAATTAGAAAAGTACAATTATGTCCAAAACTGGACACTAGGGTAGGAAAATAGCGTACCAAATGTTAAGTTTCAAATACAATGGCTTGGAACAGAAAAGGGTATGGTGGTGAATCATACATCAAAAGAAAGCTCATGGTTTGTGGAGTAAACTTGGAGCAAAAACAAATATTATTGTTTTACAAACTCTAAAGTAAGTGGAACAACGCTTCTGTTGTTTGTCATGGCTTCTTTGATTCTCTGTTTACACCCGGTCCCTACTTTATTACTGACCGATACTTTTAATCACTTTTCCGCATACGCAGTCACAATCTGGTTGGATGGTCTGGTGAACAGGCATCTGTTCACTGCTATCAGGAAACCTTGTTCTAATGGTCAGGCAGAACATTTTGTCAGGACGCTGAAAACTGTTGTTAATGCAATTTATGCTTCAACGTTCAATGAACTAGAGAGGAAAGTAGACAAGTTTCTGCTGCGCTAAAGAAAATCTAAACATTACATGACGAATGAGAACACATCAATGTTATGAAAAGGAAGGATTCTTCGTTCAAATATGAGGTAGAGTTTGCAGAAGTTATACATTATCGTAGACATAATCTTCGACCAGCCACGGGGATTGTGGAGAAGAATGTTGGTAAATCTATGCTTCGGATTCTAGATATCAATGATTTTAACACACACAACTGACATGTTGATCAGATAAAATTCAAGACATCAGTTGAGTCGTTTCAAATTTCGGTTATTAATTCTAGTACTAATGAGTACATTCTAGATTATGTGGAGTCTATATCTAGTAAACAGACAGGCGCATGATAAACATAAGGAGGTAAAGTAAAATGGATTACAGAAGTTCGGATCCCAGTTAAGCTGTATTGGTTGTGGAATTTGTACAAACTAATGATTAATTTATTACTCATTTCAAATACAAAAAGTTTATTTATGCCCATCTAGTTCTATTCATCTTAAATTGTAGTACTTCGAGAATTCTTAGTTAGTACATTAGTTCAAAAAACCCTAAAGTATTCATAGTAAATCTTAAATTATCGTCCAATCTTCGTCTAGATGTAATGCTTAACCAATACCCTTCATGTAGTAGTGTTCATTAGAACTACCAATATATATATCAGCAACCACCTAATTCAGGGAGTTATATGTTACTGAGGTTAGATTCGGTAAGCAAATCAGCTGAAAATTAGATGTATACGTTTAGATAATTTGTAATTTTGTTTCGTACTAGCCTTCGTTAAATTCCAACGAAGTCGTACCCTTATCCTACCATGTGATGTGAGAAAGACATGGAAGAAGCTGGATAACCAAATTTTCTCTCAGCGTCACGTGCACAAATCTCGGAAAAATTTTGGTTTTACAGTTTCGAAACAACGTCTGGATTATTGAGTTAAACTTACTCTATATTTGCTTCAGAAATCCTAAGATATACACTAAAAGATTGACTCAAGAGAGATACTCTGCCGTCAATTATGGAGTTTCGTCCGAAAGGTCTTTCAGGAGTCATTTTCTGAAGATTGCTTTTAGATTAAGAATATGTGTACGTTGCAGACAATACGGTTCAATAGTCACCGAAAAGTAAGAACGAAATTATTGTTTTTATTATATTTCTGATCAAAATAAATGCGAAAGTGGTCATTCTATGATAAAATTATTTCTCGATGTCATTCTTGCACTTTACATTTTCTACTTGTTTTAATCCTCAAGCGAAGACTCAATTTTTTGTTACTTTTTAAAATATTTTTGGCAGTTCGCGCTTACACTGTGACAGGTTTGACACTTTATTTTTCCTATTACTTCCCCATTTTTTTCACGTTTATGTATATAACAGTGGCTTTCACACAGATTAGTTAATTGTTCACAAACGCGATCCTGGTCGTTCGCTATGTGATATAACATTATCGTATGAAAAAGAGCAATATCAATATCATGATTTGTAGATAACTCCACAAAAGAGAGGATTTTTATGCTTATAATGAAAGCCACTCGGTGTTACAGATATCGCTCAGGGCATCATTCAAAAAGCATGTATGTGACACAAAGTGGGTGGTTTATCTAAGAGTGCATCTGTTTGGTCGAAAATGTATTCTGGTATTGTATCATATTCATGGTGTAATGAGAATAGCAATGCATAATTTTTATATGAATTCGAAATTAGAACTATTTCACGGGAACCTTTAGAATATTCCATTCAAACTTCGGGTAAGTGATGTTCACATGCATACCAGAAATGGAAAATAAAACAAACACTAGTGAAGTAAAGAGAATATTTCCATAAAATAAGCCGAGATAAACTAAAAACACTCTAACAAAGTCTTCTTTTTTCATGCCATGAGGGGATAGTGATAAATTGCCACTTTTTGCCTCACTGGGTTTGAAATGTTACTGGATTTGCGTCAAACTGTTTACCTCTTGCCTAAATATATTCCAGATTTTTCAGTTTTTGCCTCTATTTACACAGAGGCTACGGAAAATTATATGCTCCAGGACTGAATGTCTACTGTGTTCATCAACAAACGTTTAGACATTGTGGATTGTATTTAAAAAATATATTTGGTTAAAAACATTTAAGGAAAGAAAACCCATAGTTTTCAAGAATAGTAATGACATATGGTCGCTTTTTCACATCTCTCTGAATCTAAAGTTCCACGTAGTTTCAACGTAGCACATGTAAAAGAAAATACTAATGCATAGATAATCAACGGTTTATTAGAGAGTTATGGTTAAAATATAAAGAATTCTATGAGATACTCCCCGTCAGAACTCTTCTATTGCTTTTCAGAATCATAAAAGCCATCTTATTGATTCTTACATTAAATAAACACTATCACTTACGACCGTGTTAGGCTTCTATATTTTTTTTGCCAACAACTGATACCATTAAGTGAGACTTACGACATTGATCATTGACATGAAACACTGCACCTATATAACAGCAGCCAAAAGTCATTATTTCAAACTATTTCTCACATTATCTTCCTTCTTTTACGACTATTTAGAAGCCTATCTCTGATAGTGTAAACAGTCTCGCGTTGCTATATCATACATATTCGTGAGGTCTTTTTTGTGAAAGTTGGTAATAAAAATCGGAATGTTGGTGGGTCTAATAACTAAGACTTGAAAAAGATACCTGTAATTCTTACGCTGCCGCGAAACCCGTACTTCTAAAATGCTTTTTTTGATTAAGTGTCGAGTGGTTTTCAGTGGCTGGCCACTTCAGGTTTCATAACATAAGCCGAAATTAGCATGTAGAAGTTTTAGGATTATCATTCATTAATTGGATCAGTATGGTCTTGTAAAGTGTGAAATGATAACCCGATGAATTAAGAAAACTCACAGAATTGTCTCTGATACCCTATGCATTCGACGTTTGCAGTTTATCTCTGGATGCAAACTTAACGACGTAATATCATAATTCCCTGAGTTATCACGCCCATCAGACTTAGACTCATACATGGTCTGCATAACGTTGACATTGAAGTTTCACATTGCCGATGACATATTTTGCCGGATAGCGCAAGGTATTGAAAATCTAAGGCACAGACATAAACGTTACTTACTTATCATCAATCTCATTACCAACAGACGTTGATGACTGCGTTTCTACTTGTGTAGAACCTATTTATAAACATGTACATATACAACACGCCGATTTTGCAATGGCTGCAAATCTCCACTAGCATGATAGAATGTATGGCGAGAGGCGTATTTTTTATAGCAGTTTTTAGCACTGTTAACATTTGGATAGACCTAATATAAATGCCTGAAAATACGAGTATTCAAACACTTTGCTGTAGTTAAAATGTCGTTACAACTTCAGTTATCTCCTTTAAATTACCAGGTATCACATAAGTCGATGGCCTAGAACATAATATTTGACGTTCTATTAAGGTCATTTTCAACTTCCATATACTTCGGCAATAGTAAGCGTTGGTTAAAAACTAATAAAGATACTAAAGGCGTCTTGACAGTTGGTTTTACATTTTCTTGAAGAACTCATAATTGAAGATGTTCTTTATATTATGAACTCAGAAGATATTGCCGCCAGAACACTTCAAGTACGCTCCTAAAAGACAATAATGAAGAGGAACAGCAAGGGCTTAGAAAAAAGAATAGGAGTGAAGATGCTCACGAGACTACTAGTATGATTATCTAGAGGAAGAAAATCTTGTCATGTGAGTTGTACTGGAGCAACAAACCTTTGCTGAGCGTTTATAAAACAACTAGTTATTTACAATTTGTGTTAAGCAATTCTACAGAGACTTCTAGAAGCCCACAATAATTAGTAATGGATTTCGCTTTCTAATTCAGTTGGATAAATTTGTATTTTGAATAGACAGTAATTATCTTATTAGAGTTGGACAATACTAAGTTGTCGAGGGTTTGTTTTACTAGCTCCAAGTGCAAAATAACTGAAAAATGAGTTATTATTAGGTTTGTACATTATGATAAAGATTCACACGTTTCGATGGGTCGAAATTCTGCCAGAAGGTTCACTAATCGATTACAAACATGCAGATAACATAATACAAAATCTGTCGAGAAAATGCTGTCTTCCGATCAACTTAAGGAACAATGGAAGCATGTTTGAGATGCATTTTTTTTTAGCTCTGAATGCAAAATATTGCCTCAGTACTAGTCTGCGTCAACACTTAAACTAATGATAGGGAGCAAAGTGACTGAATGCTTGGACTACTTCACTCCTCTTGAAAGTCTAATCAGTTCTGGCGGATTTGTGTTCAGCAAATAATCGTGGGAGTAATTTTGAGGCTAGGCATATGTTACCGGACAAAATTTGCAAATTGCTTGTTAAGGTTATCCATCTTCCTTGATTGTGGTGGTTAAGATGTATTTTGCATACTCCTGAACACCACCTAATTCAAGGGTAGAGAAGGTCGGACAAAGGCCAGGGGCTGCCAAAACAAAAAGTAGCATCAGTCCATGAAGCTTCTGATTGTTGATGTGAGTTATAACGGTAGGTGCAGATTATCTAGTTGGGATCTTTGCGATATTGGGGATCAGTGCCTCTAGAATTTGAGCTAAATTGGTGGGAATCAGTCACAATGACACAGATGCACTCATTCTTTATCTTCTCTTCTATCCTGAACTCCACTGTTCTCTGACACACTCCTTTTTACACTGTTCTTTCAGGCTGTCATCAATACTTAGCCATTCTCGTTATCACTGCTGCCACATCATTTTTGTTTCTTTTGATATTCTTCTTGCCGGATTTATTTCTTTGTGCTGATTTTGTATAACAGCCCTAATCAGGCTAAATGCGTATAGTGATTGACTGAATGAAATTTAGTTGGTAGACGAAAGAAAGTGTAATATGGGTCAGAGGACAACCAGGTTTCTGATATGCATAACTTACTAAGTGCTTTTGTTTACAATCTTTTGAAGTCATCATAAGTGTCAGTTTATTATGCACAAAGGTGATTCATGACTATCAAACAATCTGGAAGTTTTTCAAGTAGAGGGAAGAAATTGAACTTAATGCTAAATTACTATCAAAACTATATATGTTCATTGTTTACTTTTTTCACTGTTAAATCATGTCGGTACATCTTAAATGTATCTTAGAGGAATCCACAATTTGTTAGCCATTTTCAAAAAGTAGCCTCTGGAGATTTGATAATAAACCAGGACCAAAATATCAATGGCTTTTGCAAGCAGTTTTGATTGAAAGCACTGTGACGTCTTATTGATTGTTTAGTATTTTGCTATAATAATATGTCCAAGTTTGAATGAAAATCAATTAAAGGCACCTGATAATTTATGTATATGGGTCGTTAAATGTTCCGTGTCTTATATTTTACATCTGTCTTCTTTTTCAGCAAAGATTGTGCACTGCAATTAAGCCAAACAAAAGACGTAAATCTACACTTAATACTCAAATGGTTTGCCAATGATCTGATGAATGACAATTTCAATTTAACAGAATCAACAGAGTTGCCTTCTCAGGTTAGTTAGTTCTAATATACGAGGTTTATGAATACATCTCAAAATATCCAGTGATATTTCTCAAAAGCTTAAAAATGCTTGAAAACGGTTTTTTATCTCGTTATGCTGATGTAATATAACACCTTAGGCCAACGTCCAACATCCTCAGGCATTACGTTCATGATTGCAAACTAACTTGAGAATCTACGATGCTAAGTATTTATCACTGGTTTTTGATGTCTACCTAGCTAATTCGACAAAATATTGGGTTCCATTTGAATAACTTACTTACACCTGTCACTCCTCGTGAAGGAGCATAGGCCGCCCACCAATATTCTCCATCCAGCCCTGCCCTGGGCAATTGTTTCCAGCTCTTTCCAGTTTTTATTCATCCTTTTCATATATGATTCTATTTCCCGACGTAATGTGTTCTTCGGCCTTCCTTTTTTCCGCTTCCCTTCAGGATTCCGAGTTAGGGCTTGTCTCGTGATTCAGTTTGATGATTTGCGTTATGTGTGTCCTATCCATTTCCATCGTCTTTTCCTAATTTCCTTCTCAGCTGGAAGCCGACTTGTTCTCTCCCACAGTTGGCTGTCACTGATGGTATCCGGCCAATGTATGTTGAGTATCTTGCGTAGACAACTACTCATAAATACTTGTACCTTCTTGATGGTGGTTGTAGTATTCTTCAAGTTTCAGCTCCGTACAGTAGAACTGCCTTGACGTTCGTATTGAAGATTCTCACTTTGATATTGGTTGAAAGTTGTTTTGAGTTCCATATGTTCTTCAATTGAGGGAATGTGGCCCTTGCTTTGCCAATCCTCACCTTTACGTCTGCATCTGAGCCTCCTTGTTCATCGATGATGCTTCCCAGGTACGTGAAGGATTCTACAACCTCCAGAGTTTTGCCATCAAGAGCGATTGGGTTGGTGTTCTCCGTGTTGTATTTGAGGACTTTGGTTTTCCATTTGTGTATGTTGAGGCCTAATGATGCAGTGACTGCTGTTACATGAGTTGTCTTCATCTTATTTGTTGATGTGTATGGGATAGGAGGGCTAGGTCATCTGCGAAGTCCAAATCGTCTAATTGGTTCTGAGCTGTTCATTGCATCCCATTTGAATAAGCGTTTATTATATTTACATATATGAAAATGGATTAATTTGATGATTTATTCTAGGATACCTAGCTGTACAAACCTCCAAACTCCATTTGTCTTTTTTAAACAATGATGAGTGAACTTATCTTTTAGAGATGGGAAAAATTGTAGTCAGTGATACAAGGTAGCCATCCTGGACTTCACTTTAAGTTAATATGAATGAATTTTGAGGCATCATTAATATCCTGGTTTTGTTTTGAAATGTTATAGCAAAGACTGAATAAATGATGTAAAGTAGGTATATGTAGACCTCTGGAGAAATGTTTGAAAATATAGGTCTCCACATTCAACTAGTATTATTTTGTTTTTAGAAAATTTCACTCAGAAAATCCAGTTCGTTGTATGCCTCAAGTTAAAAGTCATCGGCTTCATTGGTAGATGGTGCGCCCATGTATAATTGCTCTGAGTCTTTCGTTCACACCATTAATACTTTAGTATGGCTCTTCAAAGCATGAGGTAACTTGATTTATGTAACTTTTAATTCCCCTAAGTGAATCAGGGCTAGAAATAACACAGAACACACGATATATATATATATATATATATATATATATATATATATATATATATATATATATATATATATATATATATATATATATATATATATAGTCATTAAAAGTCATTTTAATATGTGAAACATCTTTTTAATATTTTCATCCTGCTTTTGCTATATTTTATGTGTCATATCTTTACTAATTTTATTACTCTTCGTTCTTTAGTTTGATTACTATGACATTCTCTCTGAAAAAAACAGAAATTTGACCAGTTTGACATTAACTAAACCCGAAACAATGTAAGCGTATGCATTTATTTACATTTTGATTAACGATAATGTTATTTATAATGCTTATTTTCTTAAAGGTATATTGACAAAGTCACCTTATCAGGAACTTCACCAAAATTTTTGCAAACAATTTTTTACAACTAACTGTTTTGAAAGTAAAACTAAGATGAACCAATAAGACTGACAACAGTCCTGTAAGGTGGTTTCGGTGACGAATTTAAGTAAGAAAGCACTGAAACTCTTAGTATCTTGGACAACTACTCTGTTTATTTGAGAATTTCTCACTGGTAGACTCTTGTCGTCGAGTTCACTTTAGACTACCTAAAGATAATTTACATTACTAAAGTTTCTAGCTTAATTCAAACAGTCGTATTCACAAAATTTCTTTCAATGTTATTAATGTTAAATTGCGGAAGAATAAGTATCTCTAAAAGTGATTGTTTTATGAAAGGTCATGGTATTTTGAACAATTCATTTATCAAAATGTATGTGTATATTTCTTATGGTAGTATTGTCAAATTTCAAAGAAGTTAATCCCTACGATTCAGACCAAAAAAAGTTAGCCAAGCATACCTTAACGTATGTTACTTTAGTAACAAGGTATTATCTAATTTGTTTTTTATCAAATTGAATTTGTCTCTACAGGTTCATTTAGATATACAACAAGGGATAGGCTCATTTCATACTGTTTTAACCTAAAAATAGTATAGAGCAGTAAATCAGTCACTGGAGAGTTTCAACTTTAGGCACTAAACCCCACCCACCTTCTTTGATTTGCATGATCAGACAGTTTTGCTACCCCCTATACTCGGAGTGTGGTTGAAAGCTAAAAAGACAAATCTGTACCTGGTAAATGAGTTATTCAGAAAAACTTTAAGTATGTGTGGAAGCCATGTTTAAGCAGGAATAAGCATAGACTAATAAGTCACATTACTTATAGTTACCTTTACTTCACATGTTTATTTAAATATAACTGGATGCATGGAATTAGAAATGCTAATTTACAGCTATATTTACATTGATTTCAGAATAAATGAGTTAGGCATCAAACAGAATTCACATTTGATTTGTTCGTTTTAGAAAAATATTAAGTTTGATTTTCATTCTATCTAGAATTTGTCGGGAAGATACATCTTAAGCCTCTAAATAATATCATTGTTCTTATTTAGATTCTAGATTTTCTTTTAGTGGTAAAGTTTTAGCCATTATTAGTATGTATTTTCAAAAGCCATATCTTCATCAATAATAAATATGGGATTAATGTAGTGCGTTTATTACTAATATCTTATAATGTTTATGATTTTGAAATAAGATTACAATAAATTCTAGATTAGTAACAGGTTGTTTTAGAGGAAATAGGGATGTGAACGGGAACACAGGTGATGAGAATCGATTGTATACAGAATCTCTTGCTAAAATATGAGGACCATACAGTGAATACTTCATTTGCATATTTCCATCATTTGTCCTTCACTTCTGTATGGTTCTTTTAGTTCACAATTCTTTTATATTTTCCCTTCTACTCTCCTCATGTCGATCTTCTTAGCCTTCTGCTGCCAAGTTTTCCACTGTCAATTAGTGTTAAATACTACTTATGTCAACAAACATAGGTAACATATATCACAATACTACTAATGAATTGCTACAGGGAAATTAAGTGGTGATGAATGACTGTATTGTATCTGTTTAAGGAGCTTCAGAAGTTCATATAATTGAAATTTTCTTCAGCTATTATCAAGAACTTAAGATTTATTGTCAAGCAGTGTAAATATCGAGCTTAGGTTTAATGTCATTTAAGTTTATAAAGTTCCTGTCCATAGAGGTCTTAATACGGTGTTTGTATGTATTATTGCCAACAATGTATTACGAATTTATTTTATTTTCGACTATTACCGGTAATTTTATTAAGAAAAGCTTCAAGTTAACAAAGCTATAATGCATATGTGATTTAGTCTTTCACTCCAATGTCTTGTAGTAACAATTTGATTGTTATTGATTATAAGGTTAGTCATTCTTGCTTTCTGGTTAGAAAACCCCCAAAATTTAAACTTTACCAAGATTTGCAGATATTTTCTGATCAATTATTTTGCTGAATCATTTATGTGCATGAATGTAGAAATTATCGAAGCCCATATGTTCATTCGTGATTCGAATGTTCAATTCAACACAGTGTGTAATTTTATCTCTATGAGTGTATGTGTGATAAAATATTTATTGGACAATTGGCCTTATTTATATGTATCCATATGTTGTAAATCAGACATTTAACTATCAAATATACTGTCCTTTATTATGAAGTATTTATATTGTAATTCCGTGGTTAGAGAAGATAAAAAGGGTATTTTTATTCCTTTCAACTTCATTCTGTCTACTTGATGTTGTTCATTCAGTATTATTTATAATACGTTTGCGGAGAATTTGCACAATTTTGATGGCACTTTTTTTAACAAACTGTGATTGGTTGGAGGACCGTTGTAAATCATATGGGTCTTGTGTTTTGTTCGATTTCGCGTGAGGTCTTGGGTGCGGAATACTGATAAGTCCTAAAGTAGAACAAATAAAACTTCGAAAATTTCTCATTAGAATAACACGACAGCAAAAATATGATAACATCTATAGAGCATGATTGTAAGTATTCAATGGATTTAGTCGTTACTAGAGTAAAATCATAGTACCTACTTACTTTGCATAGAAAAAATTGACTAGTGACAACTGAAAACTTGATTGATGCACACTAATTTAGCTTTCTACTTAATCTTATCTCATGTTGTGCTGATTAGTAATGATCTAATTACATTGAGGTTAGGTTGTAGTAAAAGAAAACTAAAAATTTACAAGTTGGCTAAGTCAATGAAGTCAGAATTCCAAATAGGTACTGAAGGTTTGTTTTATGCTGTAAAAGTTTCTATACTAGTTGCTACACATCTTAAATTCTTGGGATGCTTTTAGACATTATGGGAAAATATAAGATTTTAAAAGAAACGCATAATTATAATATTACTGAAAAGGTGTGATAAATTAAAAGATGTTTTATTCAATGATTTGTAACCGAATTAAAATAGAAAGTAGTTGTCGAAATAAAGATAATTTTAAGCATTGTTAGTTTGCAAATAAATACATGTTATGAGGATATGATAGAGAAAATTTTATGGTACATTCAACACATAAATTCTACATAAATCGTTACTAAATTGAAATTTCAGTTATAGGTCATGTTTTAATGTGATATTCATTTATGTAATCACTCAGAAGTCAATATATGATAAAAGGATATGAAACCGTGAGTTGTTTTGCTATCGACTTGTGGATTATCCGAAATCTACTTCATTATAAAGACCAAGCGGAACTTTTAAAATTATGTTGTCAATTTGTGTTTATTAAGTATAAGCTGTGAAAGGAAAAATTAACAACTAATTTGGTTAAAGCATTGTATTATACTTTTAGTCTAATATAAAATAGTCGCTATTCAGTAACAGTTTATATGAGCAGCTTAAACTGTTAGAACGGAAACATTGGACTCGTAAAAGTGACTGTTACAGGTATGAGATTTCACTGGGTATAGAGTGCAATAATCAATTTTTAGAAAAATTAGCACTTGTTTGCTGCAATACACATTTAACATCATTCAATTGGCTTAACAAACTTTACAAAGGTATCATAAAACGCTATGTTAAAAATATATTTGGACTTATTATGTATATTTCTAAATGTAGTTTTACGTAGAATCTTACGAACTACGTGAAATATAGTACATTTCAATATATAAATAATGATATAGTTATCAATGTAAAAGGGTATAGAGTTTAATACTTTCAATAAAAATTTATTACCAATGAATTTTCTTCAAACTATATAGAGAAAAAAAGCAAAAACATTTTGATTCACCTTTATTCTACTTCTATTTACATATTTAAATCAATACACCCATGTTTATTGTACCACAATAACCTTTTTAATCTTTCAGGTCAATTTTATGAAAGGAACATTTTATTAAAATTATTGATGAAATTTGGCATAAATTGATTCTTTATTCAAAACTGATTAAGATTTTAGTACCGGTTTTATGAAGATAATTGTTAGAATGATGTTAATCATAGGTGTACACTTGTTAAGATTCTTTGAAGAGTACTTTAAGCGATTCAATTATCAAACATGGTGACATTGGTTTACTAACCTAATTTACTATCAAAAATCAAATGATTAAGAATGATTATAGTCTCTCATGTCACTAACAATAAATCCTTCATTTTTGCTTACTATATTTTATCTTGTTCAATACTTTACTCAGTTTTTCCTTTCTCAAGTCTATCAAAAGAGAAGAATCTAAAATAAATGAACGTCAGGAACATTTAAGAATTATGACTTATGAGTTATGGAGTTAAATAAGTAAATTATAAAGTGACAATGTACAACAAATTATAAATCTTTACCATTCAACCATTAAAAATTTTTTAATATTATACCGAGTAATATATTTAATACTTCATAAAAATATAGGTTGAACGAAAATATTTCTTTCCGATTAGTTTTTTTCTATGGGTCTTTCATCAATATAAAGGTTGTACAAATAAGTATAAAAACGATACCAAATAGATGATAGTGAGTCAACTTCATAATATGGTAAACAACTAGCAACACGTCTAGAATATTAAAGTTAAAATCATGGTATTTCGTAACTAGTTAATTATCACAACTAGTAAGGATAGGAATTAAACTTGGACAAGTATTTACATATGTATCTTTTGTATTATCTGAGATTAATAATGAGTAATGAGTAATTAATAAAATAGATGCAATAAAGACTAGATAATAAGATTATTCAACAGCTTATTTAAGATTAAAACTAGAAGTCAAGAAGTTACTAAACCGAAGTTTGGAGAATCTGACAGAAAAAAATTGAAAAAGTGTAAGAGTAGCTAAGTAGTAGGCTAGGGTAAATTTAGAGGCCGCGTAAGCTCTTTCTGTATACAGAGGATAGCTTTATTGGTATGTATTCTGACGGCTTCTGC